AGCACCTCATTTCAGATTGATCGGATTTATCACGGGACTTTGAACGTCCCCTCAATCTTCCTCTGTGACCAAACTTTGATTTGTCACCACTCCTCCCTCTAGCAACCAGAGCCTCATTGCTGGTACCTTCAGAACCTACCCTTCTCATCTCCTCAGACAATAAGGCAACAACAACCGTCTCGAACAACAGTTTATTAATACCAGTACCAATTGACACGATGATGTGCTCCCAAGAGTTGGGCAGTGAACACAACAAGGTGCAAGCTTTGTCTTCCTCATCCAGGTTGATGTTTATAGACGAAAGTTGTGCACAAATAGTATTAAATTCATTTAAATGTGCAGAAAAGGAATCACCTTCGCTCATCCGCAGATTGTATAGCCTCATTGGCAGGAACAGCTTGTTCACGAGTGACTTGCTCTGATAGAGACCTCCCAGCTTCGTGCAGAGATCCTTCGCGGTCTTCTCAGAAGTTACGTTCACCAGAACGTTATTAGCCAGGCATAACCAGATCAGGCTTCGCGCCTTTCGATCGTCTCTGGTCCACGCCTTCAACTCCTTCGACTCGCTTTCACCTGAGGTTTCATCACTGACGGGTTTCGTTGGTACTGATGGCTTATCATCTTCAATCACGTGCCACACGTCCCTGTCAACGAGAAGAGCCTCCATCTTCAGCTTCCATAACTCGAACCCTTTTCCTCCGAACTTTTCAACCTCGACCCGTGATTGGCCAGTCGACATCCTCTCCAGATCAATTTCGCGGTTTTATCTATGCCAAGAAAAAACCCTAAATCGCGAAACCCCAATCTGTCACAGGAACCCTGGTCGCAGAACCAAAGCTCTTGATACCAAATGTTGGAAATCGACAATCACACAGAATCGAGAAAACAGAAAAAGAGATAAGAGTAGAGAAATTAGACACAGTGATTTACCCTGGTTCACCCAATATAGGCTACGTCCAGCTTGTCTGTACTATATTCACCTCACCGCCACTCGTTACAAGTCACTCGGTTTACAAGGCAAATATAAATAGGATTAGAAAACCCTAACAACAGCTATTCATGGGCCCAAGCCCAAACTGCTAACCCCGACAACTAGGGCCTTCATTAACATGCGAAATATGAGCCATACCCAACTGTTACATGGTTATATTTTTCACATCTCGATTAGTTGTAACTTGTAAGTCATGAAATGTTTTACTTCAATTTTTGAGATGTTATACATTGAAATAAACCCATTTTACCATTCAAAGATTACAATTAGAAATAGCACATTAGACTTTTACCCCCTGAGATGATCAATTGAATCATCTTTGAAAAACTTGAATGCATTAACAACTATTAAGTCCAAAAGATTATTTCTTACATGAAACTACAGACTTGAAAACTAAGAAATTTTGAACATTGACACATAAAAAATGGAACAGTTTTTTACTGACATCTATGAACACATGTAACCTATTATTTTGTTGAATCAAAAATTAAACATCATATACTAATAACTTTTTAACAAATTTATTGCAGGCATCACTTCCCAAATAAGGTAAGGCTTGGATTAGGAAAATACTCAATTCATAGCTACATCTAGCTAGTTTTATCAAATCACTCTTTGTTAAATTAGCTTCAAGTATTTACGGTCTTAGTTTTAAAAATGTAATTCAAGGATAATTACCAATTATGCTTAATGATAACTAGGAAGTTTAGGTGTATTGTAAGCAACAATTTTTTTGGTAATTTATTGCAAGTAAATTTTATTCACGGGAATTAGATTATTTTGAGGCTTGCCACATATATATGCAATTTACATATAAATAGTATCAACATACAACAATATATATATATATATATATATATATATATATATATATATATATATATATATATATATATATATGGAAAAATATTTCTCCGGCAACTTGAGATAAGTTTAACTCCGGCTAACCAAAAACTACGTCGTTTTGTTTGTATATTTCCTAATATTAATTGATTCACCTTTCAATGATTATGATTCTCTTTTTCTCTCACTTCCTTTATTACCGTTGATCCATCTTTGTACGGTTATGATTTAGTAGCCGGAGATAAAGTTATCTCCGGCAGCTTGAGAAATGATGAGCATATATATCTATCTATCTATATATATATATATATATATATATATATATATATATGGGAGATGTTATACTTACTACTTCTTTTTCTTACTACCCCTTACTACCAAATCTTAACCGTTGATTTTTGTAAATCTAACGATTAGAATTTATTAAAAATTAAAAATTAATTAATAAGTATGACCTAATTTCTTATAACCGTTAGATTGATGAAAATCAACGATTAAGATTTAGTAGTGAGAGGTAGTAAGAAAAAGAGATGGTAACTATAACCTCCCATATATATATATATATATATATATATATATATATATATATATTGATGCAAGTTTATACTATTTATATGTACATTTCTAAAACGGGTTAGACCTGAAAACTTTAAACCCATCTATTCCTGTTGAATGACCGATCTGAATAGAAAAGACAGCTGCGTGAATGAATATAACGTGGAAAGCAAAGAAACAATTTGTCTAATTAATTTTATAAAAGTAAGATGTTGTAGTATAAATGAAATGTTGTGAATTCTTCTATGAGATGGTACAATTTCAACTTATTACAAGCTTTTGTTGCACCTTATTCATTAAATCGAAGTAAATATCAAGTTAAGAAGAAGGAAAGTGGACTAAAGTACAATCATTCCAAATCTTCTCACTCCTTTGCAAAATCTGAGTTTGGTTTTGCTTGAACGATGGCGTATTTACCATAAATTTTGTAACGTCTCTGTGGCAGGATTTTCCCTCATCCTTCACAAGGCTGAGACAACAATTATTGTCTACTGTTTGATTACCAACAAATATTGAAAAGAAAATTTGTTGACCACAATTTGGCTTTAACTTGTTTACACAATCACTCAAATATGTTTGGTACGACGACAGTGGCCCTGACGCCTTATTATGGTCATTGGAGGAACCCAGAGATGATTGCACAATTTGAGAAGAAAGTGATGTACTGATCAATAAGATATAACACACCATAAAGGTCATGGATACATAGAAGCTGCTGAAAGATGCCATGGCCCTTTAGACAATAATATTTTACTTCCTTTGAGGCTTTGCTTGTGGTTGTAAGTGTTCAAAATAGCCATATTTATACTTTAAATTTCAACTTAAACATTTGCAAAAATCAATAGGTACCACTAACTCCATCGAAATAAATAAAGTTAAGTTACTGGTTATTTATTACAATTAGTTAATAAACGTCATTCTTGTTTCTAAAAATAAAATAAAATAAATAAACGTCATTCTTTAATTGCCTTACAAATAACATTTAATTTGTTCTTCTATTTCGTAGTTTTCTTGCAAAGTTCATAATTATATTTTCAGTCGTTGTAATAACATTTTAACAAAATTACATACAGTTGTTATGGAAAACTCATCAAACATTTTACAAATTCAAACGGATTATATATACTACATACTGGGTAGGTGTGACGTTATGTGTATTATTACTTATTAGGGATGTGTGGCGTAGCTTTTTTTTTTTTTTTTTGCCTAGTTTGGGTTTCGATTTTCTCCAATCTCCTCTTTTCGCTATGCTAGGCTAGATCTTTTATGTAGTAAGAGACAGATGGACCCCAATTGAGTTTTTATGTTTATGAGTTAAATTATCTCTGAAATTCTTCCTTTTTATATTTGAATGAATTTATCTTTCCTTAATACTTTCTGTGAGTTTGCTCCTTGTAAAATGATTTAGGAAAATTGTATGACAATAGGGATGTTGGTGCATGAACCCTGATTTGATAAATTCATCATAATCCTTGTGATCTAGGAATAGACATATGATAGTTATGCAATCTTTAGATTCTTGATCTTAATGCATATTTTCTTGAAGAATAATCGGGGAATTAAGATTCTTTCAAGATCACATAGAATTAGGGTAACAAGAGATTGAACCTTAATTAACTTAGAAAGAATTAATTGGCATTATATTAAGGACATTTTCTAAACTGTTTGACTCATAACAAAAAGAGAAGATTGGGAGAAATCGAAACCTCTATGCTTGTCTTGATTATCAAAACCAACTTCTTTTCAATTGCTTGTTTAAATTCTGAATTTGCATGCTTCTGCTTGTTTTTAATTTTAAATTCTATACTCCATTAATCTATTGTCCAACTAAATCACGAGTAGTGAATTTGTGCTTGAACACTAATTCTCGTGAAAACGATCTCATACTAAAAATACATATTATTATTTTTACGACCAGTGTACTTGCCGTAGTCGCAACAAGTTTTTGGCACTGGATTGGACATTGCAACATTAGTAGTAGCTATAAGAACTTTAGATTGAATTTTTTTCTTCTGTTATTTAATTTCATTTTTTATTATTTTTTATATTTTATATTTAATTATTCTACTTTCTGGTTCATGCGAGGTATCGTTGACAAAGGATCTTTGCAGTTTGATTCGGAGATAGAGAAGACAACTAGAAGGATAAAAAAAATGCACAAAAGAGAGAAAAGAAAAAGAAGCTTCAAGCTCGATGGAACCAAAGGAGGAAGCCATGGCGAACAATAATCAAATTCAGAATCTTCCAAGAACCTTAGGAGACTACATGACTCGAGCTCGAGTTTCTTAGATTGCTAGTATTGTTAGGCCAAACGTGGATGCTAACAATTTCGAGCCGAAGCCAGCATTGTTACAGCTGATTCAAAAAGATCAGTTTTCCAGAGGAGGAATAGGAGACCTTATATTCATCTTGAGAACTTCCTTTTATACTGTGATACCGCTTGAAGATGAATGAAGTCTCTCGTGATGCCATCTTGCTCAGGCTCTTTCCCTGTTCACTTAAGGAAGATGCAAGGGGTTGCCTGCAGTCATTACCTCAAGGAAGTATCACCAATTGTGATGATCTGAAAACCAAGTTCTTAGCTCGGTTCTTTTCATCTTCAAAGCTGGCAAAGCTGAAGGCTGATATAACTTCTTTTGAGCATAAGGAAAGTGAATCTCTTTATAAGGCATGGAAAAGGTTCAAGGGACTACTCAGAAAGTGTCCACAGTATGGGTACGAAGCTTGGGAGAAAGGTCGAATTTTCTTTCAAGGGATGGCAAAAAAAGGTTGCCTTACCACTCTCACAAAATAAGGATTGGTCCTACAAAAAAAGAGTTCATTTCAAAATTTACACTATGTACTATTGATAGTACATAGTATGTGGCAGATAAACATTTCAGCCATAATTGCAGAAATATTTTTATAATATATATATATATATATATATATATATATATATATATATATATATATATATATAGGTAGGATCCTTTGACACCAGTGTCAAATTTGAAATTTGACACCTCATCTGAGAGCTATTAGATCAAAAAAGATCAATGGTGTCACATGCTTACAAATCAGAGCCATTGATTTTTTTTTTTTATCTAATGATTCTCAGATGAGATGTCAAATTTCAAATTTGACACTGGTGTCAAAGGATCCTACCTCATATATATATATATATATATATTGAGCTTTCGATTACGTAAGGAACGAAATGAATAAACTTTACTAATTAGCATGGCGACAATTGTTTTGTGAAATATATATTCAAAATGTTGAGTCACTTTTCCCTTTGTCGGTTATATATAATTCTCTCAATCATGGTTGATGATGTTTTTCAAGAATATATATATGGGTTTTATTTTTGTCATGTCACATAAGATAAATCTTCTCTCCTACTTTCACAACAAATGGTGGGACCCACTTTATTTTTAAAAAAAGAAAAGAGAAAAAAGCAGAACACAAAAATTGAAGTGAGAATAGGAGATAAAATTACTCGTATGTAACATAAGAGAAATAAAATCCTATATATATATATATATATATATATATATAATTTATTAAAATTTATTAATTAATTATTAAGTGTAACCCAATAAATTATAATTGTCATATTGGTGAAAATCAATGGTTAGGATTTGTTATCAAACTTTTTAGTTTGACACCGGTGTTAAAGTATCATGCCCCAGTATATAACACCGGTGTCAAACTAAATCTATATATATGGCTTATCGTTTCTCAAGCTGCTTGAGATAATTTTATCTCCGGCTACTAAATCATAACCGTACAAAGATGGATCAAATAATGATAAAAGAAGAGAGAGAAAAAGATAATTGTTATGGGCTCCTCCAGCCCATTAGTCCACAAGCGTCCTAGGAGAAAGCCAGCCCAGTATTGTGATTATGTCATGGGCTAGTTACATACAGCTAGTTTCCAGTTAATGATGCCTTGCTTTAATATTAAGCCCATTAGTATTTGATGTTGCTTTTATTATCAGTATGTTCTGGATGAAATGTAAGAACCATTATAAATAGCCTACTGGCTTAGTTAATACATTTGAATATTCAGGAAATCCTTCTCTCTCCCTAATTTTCTTTCTCTCTCTCTCTATTCCCTCAATTCTTAATCTGTTAAGAACTCTGTTACATTGGTGCCTTCATTTAGTTGCTGAACTATGGCTGAAAATACCAGATTTTGTGACCTTACAGCTCAAATCCATACACATGACCAGCAATTCGTCACGCTGGAACATACCATGGATCATCGTTTAGAAACGTTTGAAGTAGCTCAGAATCAGCGTTTTGAGGAGCAGAATCAAAGGGGGGATAACATTACTCATCAGATCCAAGATATGCTTGCGTTATTACAAACAATGCAAGTCTAGATTGCGAATCTGGGTCCTAGTGCTCAACACGACATTCTTGGCGCTGGTCCAGCGCGCCCTTCTCCTCCAATTCGCTCAATGAAGATGGATTTTCCACGCTTTGCATCGGGAGACCCTAGCCCCTGGTTATTCGCTGTGGAACGCTATTTTCGTTGCTATCAGGTTCCAGATTTGGATCGCCTGGATTTGGTTTCCTTCAATCTGGATTTACTTGCATCTTGTTGGTTTGAAGCTTGTTTTGGAAACGGTCATTTTCCATATTGGCCATCTTTTGTGACAGCTTTACACCAGCGATTTGGCCCATCCGAGTTTGAGGATCCCTTGGGTTCACTAGCGAAGCTGCAGCAATCAGGATCGATTTCTGAATTCCAATCAGCATTTGAATCAATTGCACGTCGGATCTCAGATTTGACCCCCATTATCCGTAAGAGCCTCTTTATTTCTGGATTAAAACCCCAAATCAGATGTCCAGTCTTAGTCCATCGTCCTATGGATGTGACTACAACATTTGCTTTTGCCAAATTTATGAAGAACAGTTTGCAGAGGTTCGTAACTCTAAACCTTGGCAAAATCGTTCTACTACCCCCTCAACACCCATTGCTGCCAACCCCATTACAACAGTTAACCCTAACACCACCTCTAAACCACCATTATCCCTACCATCCATCCCTATTAAACATTTGTCTCCTGCATAAAGGCAAGCAAGGACAGAGAAAAACCTTTGTTACAATTGTGATGAATGGTTCGTAGCAGGACATCGATGTAAGGGGAGACTTACACTCCTATATTTGGAAGGAACAGAAGATGAGCCACCGGACTTAGAGATCAGCCCACCGACCGAACAATTGGTTGAGGCCACTGACACGGTCACCAATGAGGTACCACATGAGATTAGTTTTCATGCCCTTTTTGTCCACCATTCAGCAAACTCCTTCAGGTTACAAGGTAACATCGTTAGACAACCTGTCCAAATTCTAATCGATGGAGGTAGTACTCATAACTTTATAACCCTTCGTATGGCTTCTCACCTACGTTTAACTTTGCATGCTTGATAACACATATTTTGTTACACTTATTTATTACTCTTGGTTGGTATTTTTGTGATTTATTTGAATTATATAAAGGTCTTTTGGGTCAAATCGTAATTCTAGATTTTGATTGGGTTTAATTGATTTTCGTCAGATTTTTCCAGATTTACACTATCGTATTTTGGCCATATCTCACTCTACTGATGTCCAATTAACTCCGTTCTTGTTGTGTTCTGCAGATAACAGAAAGGGATACAATCTCTATTTCAGCTACTGAAGCCCAATTCAGATGGGAAGATGGTCTAAACCTGAGCTCAAGATGACGTGTTTTTGTTGGAATTTTATTTTGACATTTTGACTTGTAAATTAATTAGAACCCAATGCGTTTAGGGCCCAAGGACATGTTTTAATGTTTTATTTTACTTTATTCAGATTTTATTTTATGAATCGGTCGAAGTGGTGAAACCCTAACCCGTTCTAAATGTGGATTATTTAAGGAAAATGTTAGGAAACCCTTCGGCAGTCAGAGATTTTGAGTTGAACAATTGTTCTAGTTTTCATTATTGAAATTCTGCACTTTTCTTTTCATCTTTTTCTTTTTCTTCTTTTATGCTATTTAATTTTGAATGATGTTTAACATTGTGATGCTAGGCTAAACACCTTTAATCAATCTAAGGTTAAAGGTTCGTTAGTTTATTTCAGAGGATCAGTTTTTAACTTTTTTTATCAATTTCGTTTTTTCCCAATTCAGGTTGAATATCATGCGATTGTAGATATTCAAACTGAATAATGCGATTGCATTCTACAAGGGAAAATTGATCATTAGATTTAATGGTCAGACTAACCAACCCAATAAACATAAGTTAAACAGGTTTAAATTACTGCGATCATAGTTTAAAAACTGTATTCAACCAAACGCTAAGCAATAGTCTAGAGAGGGTTTCTAATTGAATTTGAGGATTCATAATTCGATTGGGGTTAATCACAAATTGATAATCATATCTTTTTATCCAATGACGAAATAAATTAATGAATCCTGATTCCTTAGGTTGATTGCTTTTTGAATTCTGATTTTTAAATCCAAAATCAAATCTTTTTATTTAATTTTCAAATCAACAAAATCCCCCTTCCCTTTTTATATTTTATTTTACAAGGGCGTTTCTGATTTCTAGCAGGTTCTTTGGGAGACGATTCGAGTTGCCCTATCACTACAAAGCTGAAGCTCAGTAATTTGCGTGGGTTCGACAGCGCACGTCAATGCTATAACACCATTTAAGGTACAAATGGGTAATGGTGATGCAATGTTATGTTCAGCCTCATGTACAACAATCACAGTGGGTATTTAATCATATCTATTTATTGTAGATTTGTATGCAATTGATTTGAAAGGTGCTGATGTAGTTTTAGGGGTTCAGTGGTTATCCACACTAGGCCCTATTGTGACTAACTATGCAGATTTGACAATGTCTTTCACCCATAAGCAGTCCCAAGTGCTCTTACGGGGAGAAGTTCACATTATTCCTAATCACATTAGTCTTCACAATTGCACAAGTTGGTGCTACAAGATTCCATTGCTTCGTGTCTTATGTGCTATTCAGCAGCTTCAGAGCCACCGCCACACCTCCTACAAAATAGTACACTGCCTCCTGACTTCACAACTATGTTGGAAGCTTTAAATGATGTGTTTATGGAACCGTCTCAATTGCCTCCAGACAGAGACTACAACCACCAAATTCATCTTATTCTTGATGCCAAGCCAGTTCAGGTTCGACCATATCGCTACCCCCACTATCAGAAAAATGAGATTGAAAAATTAGTGGAGGAAATGTTACTCACAGGTGTCATACAACCCAACCATTCTTCCTTCAGTTCACCTGTTTTACTAGTTAAAAAAAGGGACGGTACTTGGCATTTTTGTGTGGATTACAGAGCACTCAATGCCCTCACAGTACAAGACAAGTCCCCAATTCCCACAATAGATGAATTACTCGATGAATTAAATAGGGCTACCATCTTTTCTAAGCTGGATTTACGCTCGAGTTATCATCAGATACCATGCATAGGGAAGACATTCATAAGACTGCCTTTCGAACACATCATGGTCACTACGAATTTGTGGTGATGCCATTCGGCCTGTCAAATGCCCCTTCCACGTTCCAGTCCATAATGAATGCAATCTTTGCTTCATTTCTAAGAAAATTTGTGGTGATTTTCTTTGATGACATACTAGTCTACAGTTCTTCTCAAGCACTGCATATGGTCCATCTTAAGGCTGCCCTCAGTGCGTTACGGGCTCATGCTTTATTTGCAAAGAAGGAGAA